TTTTTTTGGGGGGGTGGGTGGGTAGTAGGTGGGAGTACAGGGGTTGAACTCAGGGGTACTCAATCACTGAGCCACATCCCCAGCCCATTTTGTGTTTTATTTAGAGACAGGGTCTTTCTGAATTTCTTAGCACCTCACTGTTGCTGAGGAGGGCTTTGAACTCAAAAGCCTCCCAAGCCACTGGGATTACAGGCACATGCCACTGTGCCCGGCAGAGTGCAGTTTTATTATTTATGTATGTCTTAATTTGCTTTTTGATACTGGGGATTGAATCCAAGGTGCTGTACTACTGAGCCACAGTTCCAGCCCTTTTTATTTTTATTTGGTGACAGGTCTAAGTTGCTTAGGGCCTTGCTAAATTGCTGAGGCTGGTCTTGAACTTGTGATCCTCCTGCCTTGGCCTCCAGAGTTGCTGAGATTACAGGCATGGGCCACCAGTGTGGCTATCATTGGCATTTGAAAATGATTTGCTCAGTAAAGATTTGATTCAGCTGGGTGCAGTGGTGAACACCTGTAATCCCACCCCACAATTTAGGAGGCGGAGACAAGAGGACTGCAAGTCAGCCTCAGCAATTTAGCAAGGCCCTCAGCAACAAAACAGAGGTGACCAAGTGCTGTGGAGGATGCAGAGAACTCTTGCATTGATGGTAGGGTGTAAAATTACAGCAGGCATGGTGGAAAATAGTTCACCAGGTCCTCAAAATGTGACCACATGATCCAGCAATTCTACTTCTAGGTATACACTCAATAGAAATGAAAACATGTCCACACACAAAGTCACACATTGAAGCCAGGTGCAGAAGCACACCCCTGTAATCCCAGCTACTCCAAAGGCGGAGGCTGGAGGATTGAGACTTTGAGGCTAGCCTGGGCAATGTACTGAGACCCTATCTCAAAAACAAACGTAGAGAGAGCTGTCCACATTTCAAACACCAGTCAAGAACCACTGGGACTTCAGGGGCAGACCTGAGAACGCTGGGTTCAGGGTTTTATTTTTAAACCTTTT